TGCAAATTTTGATTTCAACTTTGGCCGATTTTGCTATGGCCATTCCGGTTTTCTTGCGAATCATTTTGGATTTTTAGCTTATGATGTGTGTGAAATAATGTCCTTCTTTTCTTCCTCCCGCCTGTGTAGTTTTGATGAGTGGCGTCGGTCCTCTTTCTACCCCTGGTCAGTGTCCTTCTTGTGAATGGTTTGATTTTCTCCCTCACACTGGTTTCATTGCGGTATGATGATATCGGGCACGACGACTGTCTCCGCGAGGCCTCAGGGAGCTGGATTATGATGATGTAAGCTTCCCCAGTGACGTGGACTGATGCGCAAACCCTGGTCGATCCCTTGCTCTGCTTTTCCGGAAATCCACACGGCCCTTGAGTTTGATTGATGTATGGGGTCGATCGATACCTGAGTATGCATGCCAGTTTTCTGACGAACACGGTTGGTGTATGATTTGGGGGGAGGGGGGGGGAGGGGGGGAAGGGAGTTAATGAATGGCTGATCCAATTGTATGATTGCCAGCGGACTGCCTCCCTAATGTCTGTTCCTGACCCGACTAGCATGACGAAGGATGAAACGATCCCCCGACCAAAGGGATAACCGGTCGATCCGATCCAACTGATCGCAGACGTGGTCTCGTGCGCATACGTGCAGGCTCGATCATAACAAACGTCGTCTGCACGCGCGTTTGCAAGACTCGCGCTTGGGTCCATGTCTAAACTCGCAAAATTCAGGTAGCATGGATGATGGGACTCACTTTCACATCACGGATCGGGAGAGCCTGAGACATCGACGGTTCCGAGGATACTGGGAGTGGAAAAACGCCTGTCTTCTCGCACAACCCCGCCCCAACCCTCCAAAGTTCCCCTTTCTGACGGGAAACGAACGTGTCTGTGAGTGGGATATCGAACGGGCCTTAAGTGCGATCCCTTTTCCTTCCCAGTTCCCCAACTCACACGTAAGCCACATCATCGCCGAGCCTAGTGTCATCATCATTGAGACAGACTTCGCTCCCTACCGCCTCGTGTTGCCTTTTCACTGCCTGACGGCGGCCCCGTGGCACACACTCGCTCCCTACTGGCCTCGAACCCCGTGCTCCGAGTGCCAGCAGCAGCAGGACAGCGAGTACCGAGCCGCGGGGTTCGTTCGATGAAGTTCAACCCGGACTGAGGCCGAACAGCGAGCACACAGCCTGCGCCTGAGGCCCGCCTCGTCTGACTTGGATGCTTATCACGAACGACGCTGGCGATTGCTTAGGCAACGCGACACACATAGCGTTCCACCGGTTCACCAAATTCGAGTCCGGCCTTGGCAACGAAACTCGCAGGGATGGCAATGACATCCCCCAAGGCATAAACATCGGACGCGGTTCGCGCTTACTATCTTGCATAATTGCCCCTGAAGTTTGCCACAGGAGATTTCAGTTCTGACCTGGAACTCCACCCCCACTATCCTAAAATCCTTGGCACACCCCTTTTTCGCACTTCCGGGCCCCCATCGCACTCCGATCAGGAAGTCGCGCTGGGCGTGAGGTTGGGCGTCACAACCTTGGCATTGGCATTGGAGATCCCAGTTCCGACCTGGGACACCACCCCACTTTTCTAAAATCCTTGGCACAGCCCCTTTAGCGCCACTTCCGGGCGCGCTCTCACTCTGATCAGGAAGTTTTCCTGCAGGGGGTGAGGTTGGGCGTCATATGTACAGCCATGCGTTGGTGAACACCCGCTGGTGTCCATGTGTTAGGCCGTAGGGTTTTGAACCAACATCCTCAAACCACAATGCACATTCCCCACTGGGCTATAGCTGCACTTTTAGCAGGACTTGGCTATAGATTTGTACTAGTTCCACACTGAGAATTTTCCAGCACCTCAGAAAAACTAGATGGGGAGGCCATGCTCTCACGGGGCCCTATTATTGGCATTTTGATTTGCTGCAGCCGTCAACTCCTCCACTGAGATGGGCCTGTCTAGGGCTAGAGTCCCTTGCTGTGGTATCCTGGCCAGGGGTTGACCCAGAAGGAGTTTTCCTGCAATTCCTTTTCCACATCCTCTGGGGGTAACCCACCACATATTCCACATTTGATCCGTCTCTGAGGTTCGTCTCAGGTTGGGGTCAAAGGGGGGATTCTGTGCTGAGGAGATTGGCCTTTGATTGGAGCCAAGGTTTCCTTTGACATTAGGTACATTTTTCCCATCTCCCTCACCCTATAATGAAGTCCTGCTAGGAGTGTAGGACTTTATTTCGAGGCCCATACTGCCATGACAATCCTAGTTGTCTCGTCATCATGCGGAATGTGTGCGGACGAGCTTCCGGATACATTTAAAACCTTGAAGTTTGGGGATTGGTGCAACGAGGCGCTGGGGGGAAAAAACATCTTCCAGAATTTTTTTTTTTTTTTTTTTTTTTTTTGGGACTTCCAGAACTTTTTCAGCCTCCGGGGATGGCTATGGATGCTTGTCTCTACGGCAGGGCTTGTCGCTGTGCCAGGGGACTCAGTCTGATCTATGGCAGTGAAATGTCGTCTGCAATCGCACGGGAAGGGGAACCGTAGGCCATTCAATCTGTCTCAGCGGTTACAGAGGTTCCGGCCGGCGGTTCGCAGTGATCCCACAGTCACACAGGTAGCAGAAAACTGTAGTACACGGCTGCATGTGGGCCGAGACCACGGCGTTCGGCCGCACCATGGAGTGGCAGGCAAAGTCAGCAGCGAGGCGCCCACTTGGCCGGTATGTTTCTTTTTATTTTTTATAAATGGGCCCCGCCCACTACTCTCGAAATGTGCAAAACGTTGAAAAAAAAAAAAAAAAAAGAAATGTGCAAAACGAGAGTGAATCTGACGCTAGAACATGGAACGATACACCGCCCTGAGTTTTGTCGTTTTGCACGTCGAGAGGAGCGGAGCGAGGCCTAATGGGCCTTGCTCCGCTACACATCACTCACGTGCCCAATGGGCCTTGCTCCGCTACACATCACTCTACATGCACGTGGAGCCTTTGTCAGGACCAGGTGCATCCCGACGAGGCCAACATTTTGAGTGTTCCTGGACCCCAAAGCATCCCAATTCATGTAATTGGTTGTGTAGTGGAGGGAGGCCCAATGTTTCGTTTTTGCAAGGTGGCGCCCACTTGGCTGCTTGGTTTGGCGGGAAGGAATTCGGAACTGGACAAAAAGACAAACGATGAACGTTGTCACGATCCCGACTGTCGGCAATGTCTACCCCGCCACTGCCGCTAGTGTTGGGCGTGGCGGAGGTCCGGCCCCGCCGGAAACCGAGGCGGGGAGAGCGGGAGGAGCGCAGGATGGACGCAGAGTGCTGCAAAGTTTTCAAGCCGTATGTGGTCTCGAATCCGGCGAATTTCATGCGAAAGAGGTGGCAGTGGGAGTGCTATTGCGGGAGGAATATGCGAGCGACAGGCGAGAGGAAGGCGGGGGCAGGGAGAGGAGGGGCAGGGAGAGGGAGAGGAAGGCGGGGAGGGAGGGAGTCGAAACATTTCAATGGCGGGCAGAAAAGTGAATGAAGTACTTGACGGCCCGCCGACGTCGCTGGATTCCGCAAGCTGAGGTCCGCATGTGCTGGTGGATGCGGCGCCATAGCCGGATCTGGCCGACTTAGGCGTGGTCCAGGAGTGTGCGAGCGCGCGACCGTAAGACAGGAGATGTACTACCGAACACGCTTAAGTTATGGATGCAGGTTCTCATTCAAGCTGTGCTAGGGTGTCATTCACGCTGTCCTGACACGCACCGAAGACGCCCTTCTTCCTTCTCTGGCATTCCACATCCTTCTGCCGACCATAGCTTGAAATTGCGGACATCGCTGCGCGAAGAAGATTTTGCAACGTGTGCTGGGGAATCTCGCGCTGCTTCTTATTTATGCGGAGTGGCGTCAGTATTTCCGCCATAGCCAAAACTGTGGAGCGAGAGTCGATGCCAGCAAGCTCGGCGGCAGATGGAATCGGGGAAACTGACCATTTCGTTCTCAGATTGTCCTCAACCCGCCTCTCGGCCGACATTAGGCTCAGCTCTCTCCGCCGTCACGACTTCCGACACACACTATCGAGTGATCGCCAGCGCGCCATCGCTGCGCACCTGTGCGCGCACTCTTGGATTACACTGGACCAACGGTATTCGACGAACCGAATCGAGAGTGACACTCAATAAGATCACCAGGATATAGTAGTCGAGGTCGGCGGATCGATTGCTCTACTTGTGTGTGTGTGTGTGTGTGTGTGTGTGTGTGTGTGTGTGTGTGTGAGAGAGAGAGAGAGAGAGAGAGAGAGAGAGAGAGAGAGAGAGAGAGAGAGAGAGATTTCAGGAGATTGAGTGATTCGAATCGGGGTAATCAGAGATCCCCTTTTTCATATAGAGAAAAGACGTGTCTGAAATCTATAAATAATTAATTCCAGTAGCTGCCCACATTAGTGTCTTTGACCTACCCATTGGAAAGTTGCAATCATCCCCTCTTCTCAAACTAACACTGGGAAAAAAGTCGACTTTCCTCACTGGTGCTTTTGTCTGGGCACAACGGTTGGACCTCTCAACTTATCGATCTGAGTGGTCCAGCGTCGATTATCATTCATAATATTGATTTCAATTCCTCTTATTATTTATAATAAAGTCGCGTTGTAGCTCGGCCTGTCGGGCTCTCAAACCGTTCCATATAAGTCTTTTGTCCAAAACCGGGCACATTCACTCACTCACTCACGACACACACACACACACACACACACACACACANGAGAGAGAGAGAGAGAGAGAGAGAGAGAGAGAGAGAGAGAGAGAGAGAGAGAGAGAGAGAGAGAGAGATTCTTTTAGAGAATATGTGTGCGGAGTTGTGAGGAAAGAGTCGGTCCAGAGATTCACGGAGAGACGACGTTGGGAGTGGGAACGATGTTCATTCGCCGTGGCGGATGAGTATTAGGACTGTACTAGTATTACTAACTTTTTGCAATACCGAGGTCGAGAAGAGGGGCAATACTGCAATACTGGTTAACCAGAGTCGAGCGAACCGGGGGCTCTGCTGAGTTGCTCTTGCTTTCGAGAGCACTGCAGCTTGGGTGAGAGTGAGATTGGCTTTAAAAGTCAAACATCATGGCGAGATTTAGTTCGCTGGTGATAGCCACGTGGTTGGTGCTGATTGCTTACGTGTCAGTGTCAGCTGATCTTGCGGTGGGTGCGCCGGGCAACAGTCTGTTGGATCCTTCTTCGTTCTCGTACGACGTCGGGGCAGCCGGAGAGTCGTTGTTGGACGCGATCCCGACGGAGGATGAGGAGAAAAACGTCGAGCGTTCGGGACATCGTGTGACAGCCTCTGAATGGGCTAGTCTTCTTGTGACTCGCTGGTCTGCTATTCCCTCCGTTGGGGGGAGAGATAGTCTCTTGCCGAAGCGTCTCCTCAATGCCTTGCTATGGAAAGCTATAGATCAGGTGTGGGAGAATCTTCAGGAGAACGAGACTACAACTTTTCTCGTCCGCTATCATCTCGAACTTGGCGATGAGGCATTGCGAGTAATTAAGAACGTGACGGGAACGGGACATGGAGGCAGTGGAGGGGGATGCGGAGGAGGGGCCACGAGTGGGCAGTTCCCAATGCTAACGGAGCTATCTGGTTGTTGTGTGGGATACGGTCATTGGTTCTTAACGACGACCAAGTGCAATGCTCGGAAGATGAAATTGCGAAGTGACATCTTTCCTGCCGTGGAAGGTCTTCCTCCTCAAGTGAAGGTGGATCCAGCATTTCTTGGCAAGATGCTTGATGCCATAACCAATGGTCAGAAGCCTGAGGACATCGTGCCAGAGCCTGTCACGCTCCAAGTAACCATCGCCGAAGGAGTCGCTCCTACCCCCAATCTCTATAATGGCTTGGCGTACAGCATCCACAAGCAACTACCGGTAAGTTCGCTTGCACCATTCCCACCTGAGATCGAATCTCGTCCTTCCGCCTTTCTACATAATTCCCTGAATTTCCTTCATGCATCGAGTTTGGGATTTCCAACGTGCGTGTAGAAATGTCAACTTCGACGATCAATGTGCCTCTCTTTCTTCTTCGTCGTCTCCCATCTCTCTCTCTCTCTCTCTCTCTCTCTCTCTCTCTCTCTCTCTCTCTCTCTCTCTCTCTCTCTCTCTCT